CCCACTCAATACCTCTCGGTCAGAGAGTGACTTTGCCCAATTTGACTTTCTCAAGTCCAAATGGGCGATGCACAAAACGGTTGATAAAAGCTAAATTCGGGTTTTATTATCTCTAGTTTCAACCGTTTAATTGGTCTCATCAATCTCTAGATTGACCCAACTTCTTGTTAGCCAAGATTTTCTAGACTAAGTCTTTTTTTTTTCAAGTAGAGACTAAGTCAAATAGACATGAACTAATGTTTGCAACCATTAATTCTACAACTAAAAGTAAGAACAAGGCAAAATAATAAATACTCAACCATAAACAAGCAACAAATCAAACACCCATTAAGATTACACTCTAGGGTTAGGTCACAACTCTAGTGAAAATCTAGCTACTTATGTTTACAATAGAAGAAATAGAAGGAAAAATGATAATTAAATTCATATTGATAATTAAAATGAGGAAATCAATGTTTAAAAAGTTCAAAATAGCAAAAACTACTAAAGAGAGTAAAGAAAACCGTCTATTGTAGCAGCTGATGTCAAAACTTAACCTAAAAAAGTGAAACTCTTCTATTTATACAGGCTGAAATTTTCGGACAAAAATGCCCTTTCAGAGGTTCTGCGGCCGCACAATTCCATGTGCGGTCCGCACAATTCTATGTGCGGTCCGCACTTTGCTTCAGCCTGACAGGATTAGAAACCTACGTCCGCAAAATTTTGAACTGCAGCCGCACTTCTCTCTTTCTGCGATCCGCACAAATGTGTCTGCGGTCACACCTTGCTCTTTTGCGGTGCGCACAAATGTGACTACAACCGCATAGCTGTTCTTCTGCAGCCAAACATTAATTGTGCAGTCCGCACTTTTGTTGAACTTGAGATGTAGGTTCTCTGAACTTTTACTCTTACCCAGTTTCTACGGCCGCACATATCATGTGTGAATCGCACTTTTCACACTTCTCTGATGGGCGTTTCTTCACATCATGCGTCGTAGATTATAATCTGCGGTCCGCACTTCTGAGCTTTTGTGCCTGTTTTTGTCCTTGAATTCAGATCACTCCTTCTTGTTGGATTTCATCTTGGGAGCTCATCTTTCAATATTCCTGCAATTAAGCACATTTCATCAGTTTATGGGAACACAATTAAGCACTTTTGGACTAAAACGAAAGTAAAAAAGCGCTAATAAATAGTCAAAATTCCCCACTTATCACCTACCAGTCCCATAATATGATTGACTTGAGTTTTGTGGGCCCACGTTTCACATGGATAAATAAAAGGAAATGAAGGCAGCACCAAATTTATGAGCGGTTAGACAGACTCCTTGAGAATTCTGACTGGGTAGAACAATTCCCTGACGCGACTGTCACACACTACCCCCGTACACATTCAGATTACTGCCCTAAGTCTGACAAAAACTATTAATAAACATGCACATGTTTTCCACTTTGAAACAATGTGGCTCAGTTACTTACTTTTTCCAAACATTGTTGAACAACACTAGAACAACAATACAAATTACATGCATGTTATTACCTGTTTTACAGAACACGTGGAAGAATGGAACAGGTTCACTTCTGGGAATATCTTTAAGAAAAAAAAAAGACTTCTTTTAGCACGTATACAAGAGCTCCAGAACATGGGCCCACAACATAAGACCAACTTCCACACTACTCTTGAGGACAACCTTATTCATGATTATAACCTTATCCTCGAAAATGAACACGAATTTTGGAAGCTAAAATCAAGAGTCCAATGGATAAACAATGGGGATGAAAATACAATATTCTTCCCCCTCTCAGCTATCCAGAGAAGTAGGAAAAACATAATACTATAACTTAATGACACTATTGGGAACTGGACTTTTGACACCAAAGGAATTGATGATATTATTATAAAGCACTTCTTAAACATCTACACAACTGATATGGACATATTTTACACACACTAACTCAAGCAATCTAAATACCCTTTCAAAACAGGATAAAATAGCTCTCACTAGGCCTCTCGAAATAACTGAAATTGCTAAAGCTATTAATAGTTTCAAACCTCTTAAGGCCCCTGGTTCGGATGGTATCCACCCAATTTTCTTCCAAAAATACTGGACAGACACACAACCAGCTATCACCCATACTTGTACCCAAGCTTTTAATACACTATCAATACCCCCTAACTTAAATAAGACCTATGTAACTCTCATTCCTAAGGTAAAATACCCCCAAAATATCTTCCAATATAGACTCATAAGTCTTTATAACACTGTTTACAAAACTATAATAAAAATTATCGTAAATCGTATTCGTCCTTTCCTTAACAATATTATCAGTCCTAATCAATGTAGTTTTATTCTAGGAAGAAGACCAGCTGACAATGCAATAATTTTCCAAGATACAATTCATTCATTTAAGAGTTATAGGGGTCGGACTGGAAAGATGATGCTAAAAATTGACCTCAAAAAGGCTTTTGAACGACTTTAATGGTCATTCGTCAGAAGCTCACTGAATGCTCTAAATTTCCCGCAGGACCTAATCACGCTTAATTATATAACCACCACTACAACCTCAATCATTGTCAATGGCAAGCCTACTGATTTTTTTGAACCGTCAAGAGGCATCCGTCAAGGAGACCCGCTATCTCCTTATCTCTTCATCATTTGCATGCAATCGCTAACACGATGTATTGACCACCAAGTGGATATCTTGAGTTGGAAACCTATTAAAATAAGTCACAATGGGCCAGCCATATCCCACCTTCTTTTTGCGGATGACCTAATCCTATTTGCTGAGGCTGACAACTCTAGAGCAACCTTTATCATTAACATATTCAACTTATTGCCCACCAATTCGGCCAAAGAATAAATTTTTCAAAATCAAAAATTATTTTTTCATCTAATGTACCACATACAAAACAAGCAATGCTGGCTACAATACTAAACATTAAAATAAAGACTAATGTAGGTAAATATCTGGGTTTTCCAATCACTAACTTGCAACCAAAAGCTCTGATTACCAATTCATTTTGGACAGGATGAATACTAGGCTTAAAGGTTGGAAAGCCAATTTACTCAGCTTATCTGGCAAAGTAACCCTTATACAATCGACCCTCTCAGCAATACCCATACACTCCATGCAAATAAACCTTCTACCAGCTAAGATTAGAAATAATATTGATCACATACAGTGCAACTTTCTATGGGGGTCAACAACGGAAAAATGGAAAGTTCATCACATCAATTGAAATACAGTAGCTTCTCCTAAAAGAGATGGTGGCCTGAGACTGTATAAAGCAACATGAAAGAATATTGCACTCATTTCTAACCTACTATGAAGATCACACACAAATCCTGACACCCTTTGGAAAAAAAATTTCTTAAAGAAAAATATACCAACACCAAAAGAAGAAATCGCACGGTTTTCAAAATAACGACTCCTACATCTGAAAAAGTGCTGCCAAAACATACTCTTTCTTCTCCAAAGGCATAGCCTGGAACATTAGAAGCGGGACAAAGTACGACTTTGGAATATAGGTGGGTTACAGGTAGCCACACACTACGGGAATTAATTGAGAGACCACTCAACAAGGAAGATTCTACTAAAATAGTGAACAGTATCATTACCAATAATAACTGGAATCTTGACGCACTAACATATGCCTACCAAATACAATCTCTAACATTATACAACAAACTTACATCCCTTTCTCTGAACACTAAATGGCTCCTTCTTCTGGAAAGAAACAAAGGATGGGAACTTCATAACGAAATCAACTTACAATCTCTTCACTAGACTAACAGGGACTACCCGACAATAGGAGCCTTTTCACCGCTTCTGGTTATGGAAAGCACGCTGACATAACAAACTAAAAACTTTCCTCTAGCTGTTACTACCCCAACGACTACCAACTGCGGTTGTTCTATACCAAAGAAACATAATAGAAAATAACTCATGCAAACACTGTGGAGTAGAGGAAAATACATACCACCTCCTTTTTCAATGTCCCATCAACAGCAGCATATGAGGAGAACTAAATATCAGTCCACCAACACACTCAAACCATCTTGATTGGATAAGAGTAAATTGTACCTCAGAAGCAAGCATCTTACTACTAAACAATTTTCCCATACCTTTGGCAATAATAACCCCTATTATCCTTTGACATATTTGGCTAAACCGTAACGACAACCTTTTCAATAATGAATCCCACCACATTGATACCAGGAAAATAATTATGTACGCAATGGAATATCTCTGTCCCACAAACCAGAACTTCAAACACCCAATAATGTCCAAAACACTGATAAAATGGAACCCTCCACCACACAACATCTATAAACTCAATATAGATGGTGCACACTAAAAAAACTCCGACAAAGAAGGAGCATGCGGAATCATCAGAATGGATTGATGGATTCGTTTACCATACAATGGCCTCATCACCCATCCAAGCCGAAATCATCGCCCTACTGAAAGGATTGGAACTTGCTTTCACAAAAAATCAAATACCGCTTATAGTGGAAACAGATTGACTGGTATGACTACAACTACTACATGACAATTCTCACATTAAAGCTAATGCTAATCTTCTCTATGATTGCAAGCTCCTGTTAGAAGCACCGGATCAACCGGAAGTTAGGCATGTCTACCGTGAAGGAAACTAAGTGGCGCACACACTAGCAAAGTTTGGGAGCAACTGTAACTCACATAATAATGCCGAGTGTGGCGAGCACTTCTGGAGTGAACCACCTTTATTTGCTTTCTCTACTTTCTGCAAAGACAAATTGGGGTCTGTTTCGATAAGATTAGTCTGGTACTGTAATAATTCTCTTTAGTTTAATGCTTAATAATAATCAGCGAACCCAGACGCCTTTATATATATATATAAAAAAAGCTTTGTAAATGCGACTTATAGATTGAGTTTTATAATTGTAAATCGCATAAGCTAGATGCACTTATAAATTGCATTCTCTAATTACGTCTTATTGCGAAATATGTTAGAAAATCTAACAATATGAATGTGTTTTGACCGTTGGGTAGCTACCTCCCGCCATTGCTGTGAGCTTAATACGCACTTTTCTTAGTATATTATTTTATTTTCTGGGCAGACCCCACAAAAAGACGACTCTTTTTATTTCTGTAAGAAAGAAACATAAGCAGAGATTTGGGATCTGTGACAGTGACTCCACTTAATATATAGACCAAAAAACTCACCATAAATACATCACAAATCTTTCTTTTGGTGCTTTTTTCAGCCCTTTTTAGTTGAAGCTTCTATCAATTATCAATTTTTCTTGGAAAGTTCTAATTTTTTAGGCATGGATAGCAGCAGCAGAAGCTGGTGGAGGAATTATGAAGGCATATTGAGGAGCTTTTACCCTTTGTTGTTGGGTCAAATGGTGTCTTTTGTTATGGCCCTTATGAGTTTCACTTCTTCTCTAGTTGCAAATCTTGGTATGTTGTTTCTTTAGAGCTTTTTGGGGGCAAATCTTATTTTGGGGAGAGGCGGATTCAGGATTTAAGCTTTAAGAGTTCCAACATTTAAGGTTCTTGTTATTGAACCTGTTGTAATTATGGATTCATATTTATTATTTGTTGTGATTTTAGTATTTTTTGCACATAATTTATGTTTCGCGTCGAAAGTACCGGCTCAAATGAACCTGGTGCTTATATGCTGCATCCACCTCTGTTGTTTTCCCGGGNTGAAAGAAATTGAAAGCTGAGAAGCAGTTTGATTTTATTTGTATTCTTTGGCTGCATTTGTAGGTGCAAATACTCCACTTTCCCTGTCATTCTTTTCTTATACAGCATTAGCATTGGTGTATGGAGGCATCATGATTTACCGGCGGCAGAAATTAAGGGTATTTTGTTATTAATCTTACTATAAATACTGATATTTGATTCGTGAAAGCCAAAGTGATTGCCTGGATTTTATTGAGCATATTTTTAGTATTTTTCTCGTCGTGGCAATTTTCCATAAGAGAGTAATATTTTAGAGGGATATATCTGTTTATAGTGTATTTAGCATTTGATTTTACGTAATGATTGTGAATTGAATGTTGTTTTAAGCTTGCAGATTCATTGGTATTGGTATGCCCTTTTAGGCTTTGCTGATGTCCAGGGAAATTTTCTTGGTAAGAAGTTGGACATTACTTTGCTTTGCATACATTATTCTAAGGCTTTGTAATGCACCATAATAGGAAATCTTGAACCATTACTCAGCTCACTATGTTGCGGATATAGCTTTAGTAAACTCTTGGACGTGGAAGTGAACTACCATCTATTATGCAATAGACATCGTTAAATTTATTTCGGTTTATGAAATTTGGTTGCAACTTAGGTTTAGAGAAAGTGCAGATTTTCGGTGCATGTGTAGCTATCTGTTACCAATAATCTATGTCGCTGCAAATTAGGTGTCATAGCAAAAATTTTGTAGTAAGAATTCTGGGAATAGGCAAGTTCAGATCTTCGGTGCAATGTCCAAGTGATATAGGAAAATTTGCCACTACGTATTACAATCATGTCTATTAAAATGTTTGCAGAGATTTATAATAGATGCCTGTTTTTTTCCTCTTTTCCCTCTCTAAAGAGCTATTATTCACATAGTTTGCGATCTTCTTTTCAATATGTTCAATTATGTACATAATGAGAACTATATATAGTGAAGTCTAAAGCACAACATACGCTCCCCAACCATAATCTGATGGAATGGTTATTCTTCTTTCATGGCACATTTAGTCCTCTGGCTCAGTGGACCTGGAGCTTGTCTGTTGCAGCAAGCTGTATTATGATTGAAAATATGTAGCCCATAATAATTTCATACCCTATTGTAGGATCTTAGAACTTTAATATAGCCATAATTATCCAGAATATGAAATTAACTTCCTTTAAACGTATTGCAGTAAATAAAGCATATCAGTACTCCTCGATCACCAGCGTGACGATACTGGATTGCTGGACAATAGCTTGGGTGATACTTCTGACATGGCTAGTTTTGGGCACACGATATTCTCCTTGGCAATTCTTGGGTGCAGCAGTCTGTTTAGCTGGTCTCGGACTTGTGCTTCTGTCGGATGCTAACGCGAGTAGTGGAGGTGAGACTGTCTGTTTCCTATATGGTTCATTTAGGTGTAGTAAATGAGAACATTTGAACGTTGTATTTCGTCTTTCGTCAATGTACCTTTCCATCTTTTCTTGAGTTCTTGAAAGCACTTCGTATCTTGAGTGGAACAGAAATTCCATTTAAGAAATTGTTAATTTCTTTTTTGGACTTTGGTCATTTTCATTTGCAGGTGGTTCAAAACCTCTTCTTGGCGATATATTTGTGATCATCGGGACACTTCTCTTTGCAATGAGTAATGTCGGCGAGGTTAGTGTCTTTTGTTTCTACATTTCTCCCTTCTACCTGATTGCAACTCTAAATATTAACTTATGCATCTCTTATCAAAATTTCATGGTACATTTACTGTAATTCACTTTAATGCAGGAGTTTTGTGTCAAAAAGAAAGATCGTATTGAAGTGGTTTCCATGATTGGTCTTTTCGGGTTGCTTGTTACTTTAATTGAGATGTATCCTTTCTACCTAAAACTATTTTTTCATAAGATGTGTTTCATATAGCTGTGGAACTATGAAATGTACAAATTTTCATTTTCAGACCAATCTTGGAAAGGAAGAATCTGGAATCAGTCAAGTGGTCCGCGGAGATTGTAAGTGATTTAGAGTCGTGCGTTCTTATATTTGCTCCCCTATCTCTTAATAAGAACTTAACAGCTAGGGATTATTTCATGTGGCGAAGGTTGAGGGACTTGTGATATAGATCACAAGTTGCCTTGCGCCATACGAACTAAGCCTGAATTAAATGGAGAAGAGTAGAGGGGTGGGCCCATTATCCACGAGTTTCGAAAGCTGTGGTTGGTCCTAAGGGTTGGCACTGAACGGATTTCTCTGTCATCAAAAAAAGAAAATTACCAAAGGAAAAGAAAAGATCCTATTAATTGATGTGACATTGTTCTGTTTTTTTTCCCTTCCAGATATTAGCCTTCTGTGGCTACGCGACCGCAAGCTTTATGTTCTACACCTTGGTTCCCTTTCTTCTTAAGGTAAAACTTACACTTACATAGTTCCAACGACTACTGATTCTGTTGCTATAGGTTTGATTCATAGATGTCAGTTCGTCTGCAGACAAGTTACGCGATAATTAAATACAACGATTGTGACGTTATCTTTGATAACCACTGAATGATCTAATTGATGTAATTTTTGTTAGATATCTAGTTCATGATGCTATATTGGACACAGTTTGTAACTTGAAATATGCATTGGCACAAGCCGGATAAAAGTTGTTCTGAACACTACTTCCGCCTTAGATTACATAACTTTATCAAATCCAATATTCAGTTTATTACTGTATATTATTAGGAAATATATAATAGTATAATCAAAGTACAATATAATCTCATTAGTGTAATAAGATAAAAAGAAGGACAGTCTTGGCGTAACTAGTAAAGTTGTTGCCATGTGACCAGGTTGTCACGGGTTCGAGCTGTGGAAATAACCTCTTGCAAAAATGCAGGGTAAGGCTGCGTATGATAGACCCTTGTGGTCCGGCCTTTCCCCGGACCCCGCGCATAGTGAGAGCTTAGTACACCGGGCTTTCCTTTAATGTAATGAGATAAAATTTTAATTTTTTTTTAGAGAACTTCTAGTATCAAAGAACCCCATAGTATCGAATACTGAAATGAAATCAGTCCAAATTGAGCCAAATGGATAATGATATATTTATATAGCCGACCCCAACTACCTTGGGACTTGAGGGTGTAGTTGTAGTAGTTTTTGTTTTTGTTAAATGTTTTTACTCCGGGATAAGGGATTAAATGAAATCAGTTAACATGCATCTAAAATCGAAACATGTGATCTCATTATCAACTCTAACAGAAGAAGAATATGAATACAGATGAGCGGATCAACGTTGTTTAATCTATCTCTACTCACATCTGATGTGTGGGCAGTTGTTATCAGAACATTTTTCTACAAGCAGAAGGTAAGTTTTTATCCATTCTCTTCGCTCATTTGAATTTTGATGGTTTCAGCCGTATCTATCTCTAGTTTTTTTTGATATACCGTGTGTTGATAGCTCCTAATTGATATTTGCAGGTTGAATGGCTGTACTTCGTAGCTTTTGCACTTGTGGTTACGGGGCTGATCATATACTCAAAAACGTATGTCCTGCATTTTGTATTCGTTGTCTCGTCTCATGATTATAAACTATCATATTATCATAGTAAACAGGAATGCGGGAAATTGCACAACTGACTGCAATATAGTGACAGCTTGAATACCAGATGCCTAAAACAAAACAGAAAAACTAATGACATGCTTTGAAACCCAGAAAGAAAGAATATCCAGGGTCAAATTTACCCCTCTATTTTCGGATATTGTCTACATTTAACCTCCGTTATATAACAATAACAATAACAACAACAAACTCAGTGTAATCCCACAGGTGGGGTCTGGGGAGGGTAGTGTGTGCGCAAACCTTACCCCTACCTTGTAAAGGTAGAGAGGCTGTTTCCGATAGACCCTCGGCTCCGTTATATTATCAGGCCAAATTTTCCCCTGCCGTTGGCAAACTTTTCAAAATTAACCCTGCCCTAATGGCTACCGATCAATCTGAAATGTCATCTTTTCTAATTAAAATAAATCATTGGGTTGCTACACTATATTGTTGAAAAGTTTCTTGAGTGAAATATAGTACTCTAATGGAGTAAGTAGCTTTGGATTAGTGATCTATTTATAGTTCTTGACTCGACGAGTTACTAAATATAGCTAGTACCATTTCTTTGTTCATCAACAGCGCGAAGGATCCTGTTAGTGCACCAGCTATAGAAGAAGCAAATGCAGATCAAAGACGACAACTTCTTAATGAAGATGAAGAGTGCGCCGATCACAGACATGATGCAATTGCTTCATGAGCTGTATAAAGAAAGATACATTGGTATTTCATGTATCCACATATTAAAGCATCAGAAATAAGTTCTCTTTAGTCTAAACCATTTGTCACTTTGCATCTTGATCTTTATTTTGATAATTTGCCCTGGGGAGGTGCGAGAGGTTGACAGTGATAGGTCTAAGGAGAGGTAGATTTAGACCGAAGAATTGGAGTAGGGTGATTAGACAGGACATGTCAATTCATCAAGGACATGAACCTAGATAGGCGAGCATAGAGGTGGAGAATTAGGGTAAAAGGTTAGTAGTGAGTGGAGCAATTTCTCTCTAGTTTAGAGCACCTTATTTGCTCCTTTTTCTCCTTGTTGTTTTTTATACTTTGGGTATCATTATTATTTTGCTGTCATTACTTTTCTGTTCTTCAGTATTTTCATCTGCGCTTTTATACTCTTGTATATTTCAAACCTGTTTGAAAAATGCTTTTTTTTAGCCGAGAGTCTATCGGAGGTAGGGGTAAGGTCTGAATATACCCTACCCTCCGCAGACCCCACTTGTGGGATGATACCATATATGTTATTGTTGTACCTTGTTGGCTTATGAGATGAGCTAAATTAGAAATGCACTGCTCTCCACCAGTTTAAAATGGGAAAAGTAGGAAATTAAATAATTTTTACCACTTGATGAATTTGGTATAGAGACTAGAAAGAAGTTTAATTATATATAATTATGACGAGAGCTGAAACTAATTGGTAGTAAAAGGTTATGTATCTTGTTATTTTATAAACAAAAGGGCACTATGACTTACCTTATGTTAAATAATGGAGTACTCAAAAGGAATTTTTACATTCCTATGCCATATAGGAAACTATATTACCCTCAATGTTTAAGGTTTAATATAATTACATTTAGTANGTCCAGAAAAACAATTGAAACCCTCTGCTAAATCCAGAAAAACAATTGAAACCCTCTACCATTAACGTCCAAAATCAAGGTTTTTTCTTCTACAACCAGTCAAAATTGAAGTCAAATCTTCAAAGTTTCATACACAGCAATAACTTTTGATGGTTATGATTTCGGGTTCATTCAGTAATATAAGAGGAAAAGAAAAGAGAGCAGCAATTCCACCATTGACAGCCATTAAAAAGCTCTGAAGCTTTGAATTCAAATTTGGGTTTTCAAAAATCATTATTTGTTTGGATTGAGTGTTATTGTAAATAATTGGGAATATGGTTTGGAGTTTATATCTCAATTTTGAGGGGTTTTGATGAAGATTAGACGTGGTTTTGGCTGAATTTCAGATTGAAATTCGAAGAAGAAGACGTATATTGCAGAAATTGTAGAAATATTATAGATAAATTGAAGAAAAATTGTAGACTGTTGTTTATTTATTTTTCTTGAAGAAAAATTGCAGAAATATTTTTTTGGATTCCATATTTAGCATAGCAGTTTCGTAAAGAGTAACAAGAGCATATAGGAGAATCACATAATTGTAGCATAATGGGGATTTTCGACATAATTGCATTTTTTGCAGAAGATTTGTAGAAGTTTTAGTTGTTTTTGATTTATGAAAACAGAAAACAAAGCATCTATAATCAGAATACAAATAATCTACAATTTATCGATAAAATATCTACAAATTAGGTACATTGAATTTTAATATCTCAATTCCCATTCAATTGTAGCATAATTGAGATTTTCGACATAATTGCATTTTTTGCAGAAGATTTATAGAAGTTTTAGTCGTTTTTGATTTGTGAAAACAGAAAACAAAGCATCTACAATCAGAATACAAATAATCTACAATTTATCTACAAAATAGCTACAAACTGGGTACATTGAATTTTTAATATCCCAATTCCCATTCAATTGTAGCATAATTGAGATTTTCGACATAATTGCATTTTTTCAGAGGATTTGTAGAAGTTTTAGTCATTTTTTTATTTGTGAAAACAGAAAATAAAGCATCTACAATCAGAATACAAATAATCTACAATTTATCTACAAAATATCTACAAACTGCGTACATTGAATTTTTAATATCCCAATTCCCATTCAATTGTAGCATAATTGAGATTTTTGACATAATTGCGTTTTTTCAGAAGATTTCTAGAAGTTTTAGTCATTTTTTTATTTGTGAAAACAGAAAATAAAGCATCTACAATCAGAATACAAATAATCTACAATTTATCTACAAAATATCTACAAACTGCGTACATTGAATTTTTAATATCCCAATTCCCATTCAATTGTAGCATAATTGAGATTTTTGACATAATTGCGTTTTTTCAGAAGATTTCTAGAAGTTTTAGTCATTTTTTTATTTGTGAAAACAGAAAATAAAGCATCTACAATCAGAATACAAATAATCTACAATTTATCTACAAAATATCTACAAACTGGGTACATTGAATTTTAATATCCCAACTCTCATTCAATTGTAGCATAATTGAAATTTTTGACATAATTGCGCTTTTAGAAGATTTATAGAAGTTTTAGTCATTTTTTTATTTGTGAAAACAGAAAATAAAGCATCTACAATCAAAATACAAATAATCTACAATTTATCTACAAACTAGGTACATATCTGGACTCGAAATGCTTCCCCTGAAATGTATGTTTCGCATTTTTTATACATATTTTTGTCCAAAACAGTACGAAATCATCCACTTAAATACAATTTTTATACAATATTGTTCAACTTTCATACAATAGATAAATGAATAAAAAATAATAATAATAAACAACAGTCTACAATTTTTCTACAATTGATCTACAATTTTTCTACAATTTCTGCAATATACGTCTTCTTCTTCGAGTTTCAATATGAAATTCAGTCAAAACCAAGTTTAATCTCCACCAAAATTCCTCAAAATTGTGATATAAACTCCAAACCATATTCCCAATTATTTTTAACAACACCCAATCCAAACAAATAATGATTTTTGAAAACCCAAATTTGATTCAAAGCTTCAAAGCTTTTTAATGGTTGTCAATGGTGGAATTGCTGCTCTCTTTTCCTTTGCTTTGTATTTTCACCATAATTACTTTTGTTGCAGAAGAATTGTAGAAGATTTTGTCGATTTTGATTTGTGAAATCAGAGAAAATGTTGAAACAGAGTTTAGCGCAAAAAACAGAGTACAGAAATTTTGTAAAGAAGTCGACGATAGTGATTACTGTGTGTGAGCACGTGATTTTTGTTTCGCACGACAATCGCTTCAAAAAGAAATAAAAAATATATATATAATAATTGGCCCTGCTGTACAATTTTGAATTTCTGTGCGGCACCTTGTTGATTTATTTGTG